TATTGATAGTAAGTTGGAAAATTAAACATCAAGGTCATTTACAAAAATTGTTTGTATAAAAAATAATTAAAATAATAAAATAGATGAATAGCCTTACCATAATTACCTTAATTACCTCTCCAATGATACCTAAATCTTGCATATTGAACAGGAATTAGTTAATAAGAAAATCTCTTAAGAAAAAAGTTAAGAGAAAGAAAATTCAGTCAGCTTCTGTTAGCAAAATTTTAACCAAACCGAAGACCATTGCGCGAAAAATCATCATTTTTTTTGTTTGTGCCTACTTACATAAATGCAGAAGCACTTAGAAATAAGAAGCTTACTGAAATATGTTCAAAGTTCAAATTCTTCTTCACTGCTATATATCTGTGGACTTTTGACAAAACAACTTCTCTCGAGTGAGGTCACTTTCTTTTCAAAGCAATAATTCATTGAGTTCTCGAATGATATTTTTGTTTTTAGTCATTAATAGGAGTAGTTCAAGATGATATCTTAATGAAAGTTAAATAAAAATATAAAATTTTTGAATGGAAGTTCCTTGTAATTTACTCTAAATTCGAAGCTACAGAAGGCACAGAGATTGTTTTGTCAAAAGTCCACAGATATGTATGTACATATGTATATTGTATTTATTCTTATCAAAGTTATCTATTATCATCTTATCAAAAATATATCCATAAATTTTTATCTATAATATGTTGTGTTTGCTATGTATTGCACGATACCGTTAAGCCCACACGCCAACAGCAAATGATATACCAATTATGGCAGTAATTGGCTTTTTATTGCTGTATTCGTAATATCGTAATACACATTTTTCGCTATGGCGGAACGCTAGAAATACAGCTAGGCTATGTGAAAGAGCGAGAAAGTAAAGTTGAGTAACGCAGTATTGCGTAAGCAGCGAGTGACTGAGATGAGCATATTGGCTGTTTGTATTCGTCGTGTTATAAAGCCTATACATGGCTATATTTCTATTGTTGTTGTTTTAGCTAAAAATCCATATTAATGGCCGCCGAGCACCAATCAAATGTCATTTAATAGTAACAAGTGGTTGGTGTAGGATGATTCAAATGAAATAGAATTACAATTACGCGGTTTGGGCGATTTATTTTTGAAAGAGTTTATAGCTCATTGTCTAACAAAACCATATAAATCCCAATTTCAAACTTTGCACAAAAATTCTAAAAGTTTCACAAAGTCCCACAAAAAAAAAAAAAACAATTATTTTTCTTTGTTTTTTTTTTCTTTCTCCAACTCTAAGTGACACGTTTTAAGAAAAATATAAGCGCAGAAATAGATTCTTCATGCCAAAAAATCCCTTCAAGCATTTTTTTATGCAAAATTTTAGCACTTATTTACGACACTAAAGCAATATGCTAAGAAAATTTTTTTCGCAATTTTGCAAACTCGAAATTGATTTTGGTTTTGGGTTTTTCGCTAAATTTACTTATAATTATATGTAGAATCCTTCTGCGCTATACGCGCCTAGTCGAAAAAATCTCCCATACAAATTGACCCGCCCTAATACACATATACCTATGTCTATATACATATATCTTGATTCTTTTAGGCTGTTACAAACCACCGTTATGCGAACAAATGTTTGGGTTTGCATTGCGTAGGGCCGTTTCTTTTTCAAGTAAATTTTTAAGATCTAGCCGCCCTTTAAACATATGCACCTTTATTTCTTCTCTTCATGCAAATTTATTAAAAACTATCGCCTTCTCCACACTCTCTTCCAGGCTTCCCAAACGGCGCCGCTGCTGCTGCACTCTATTGCAATGCTGCCTATCCCGGCTTTTATATGCCCAACTTCGGTGTTAAGCGGAAAGGTGGTCAAATTCGTTTCACCTGTCAGCAGACAAAAAATCTCGAAAATCGTTTCGCCAGCTCAAAGTATCTCTCACCTGAAGAACGTCGCCATCTGGCACTGCAACTCAAACTTTCCGATCGTCAAGTGAAAACGTGGTTTCAAAATCGTCGCGCTAAATGGCGACGTTCCAATCAAAGCAAGCGTGCACCTCCCTCACACCTGTTGAGCCAAGCTTTGAGTGGCGGTGCGCCTGGTGTTGTGGATAGCAGTGGTACCGCTGTTGCTACACCGCATAGCTGTAGTCGAGGCAATGGCATCTTGTCTGAGGAGGACGATGATGATATTGATGATGTGGAAGATAGCGATGAGGAGAAGTAACCTAAAAATTTATTGCAATAAGGGTTGGTAATTGCAAATTGCAATTGGGATAATAAGTAAACTTGTTTCACCTAAGTGTTATTAACTTTATATTTATTTTACGATTAAGTTTTGAATTTGACATAGTATTTGTATTTATAGTTCCAATTTATGAAAATATCGTAAATATATTTAAGAAAATTTACTAAACCGAATTATGGGTTTTTCGTGGAAAAATATCTACGCCGACTTTTTTTATTGTTGTTGCAGCTTAAAATTTGTCAGCAATAACTTGACAACTTAAAAAAATGTACTTACCTGTAGTATTTGACTATGATTTCATGGGTAGGATTTGAATATCAAACCAGAAATTAAGAGTAAAATTTAGAGATAAAGCTAAATCATTTTTTGAGTCGTAAAAACGTGTTTATTTTATAACACGCCGCCTCCTTAGGTGTCTAAAGGCATTTTAATCGATGGAAACCGCTTAGCAAGAACTTTATATAAGGGACCAAAAATAACTATTAAATAGCTAAGATTTTATTTTTAGATCATTGCAAAATCGGTATTTCCCAATTTATTTATTTTTTTTTTTTTGATTAAGAATAATCGTAAAATTGATTTTCGATCATTTTTAATAGTTGTAACGGAGGCTGCGTATTTATAACCATTTTAATATTTTTATTTTCTAAAAAATTTTATCTGAAAATGACGGTTGTACATACATGAAGTGTGATCAAAAAAATATAATTCATAAAATAATTATTAAATTTGTTTGGGATAATTGAAATCTAATTTTAACGTTTGAATTATGTTTTTATTTTAGAGATCATAACTATTACGTTTTCGGCTTTATGTGGGCGCAGTGACGTAACTCCAGAGTAGTGAACAGGGACGGTAATCACCAAAAGTAAAATAATTTGAATCACCATTTGATCATTATTTTAAGATTTTTTGATATTTTCGCTCAAAAATAATAATTATAATTGTTGAGTTTTATATTTTGCTCAACAGAAATTGCATATTACAATTTGTTTTCTATTTTTTCGATCACAAATAATGATTATATTATGCTAGTTTCAAAACCCACCAAACGGGGCACTCTCAGCGGGTAAACCTAATTCGAGTACTCTGAGTGTAATGGCAGTATTCTTTTTTCCAAGTAAGCTTTTGTTTACGAGATATTTGAGATTCGTGAGTGATGTAGCAAAACGAACTTCAAATTCGTGTTCAGGGCACAAAAACACATTAGGGCTAGGGTACTCCTTTCAAAAGTACATTACGCTGCTAATTAACACCAATCCAAGGAAATTATCCTCTTTTCGTGGTATTCTGATTATTTTCAAATCGGGAAAAATTAAGTTATTAAGTGGCAGTTTTTTTCAACAATTACTTTGTTCGATATTGCTGCCGTTCAGCAGGGCAGAAATGTGTCCCCTCGATAATTTAAGGGTACATCTATCGCCAGGTCACCGTTGTTATTCTAGAAGAAGTTTAATTACAACCTTTTTTGAGATCCAGTCCAGAGGTTTACGCGAAAATCTGAAACATTAGTAGCATGCCTCCGGTTTGGATGTGAACATGCTGAAATTTCTAACTCTTATCTTTCTTACTCTGCCTGTGGTGGAAATCGTAGCATATCTGCCTGACTCGCTTGTGCACATATTGTGATCATCCCAAAATCCATTAGAGAAGGAGGTAAACAATATGAAATTCATGATCATCCGCATTTAAATTTTATTAGGTCGGTGTTATGCAGACAAACTTTTGTTTGCCAAATTAAATGGCGGCTGCTTAGTTTGCTCGAAGGTGGTTATGTAGAGTTTGGCACAGGGTTGCACGTTCACTATGGTTTTCATAGCTATTGCCAACACGAAATGAGAATTTCAGATGTACACAACGCGCACAATTAATATATTTTTTCTGGTATCGTATAGGCAATTAACTGTGCCCTAATCTTTGAAGCTCTTACAGCATAAATTCAGTTCTCTGGCTTTCGGTACCACGGCAATTTTTGTGTATAGCAACAATTGTCTAAAATTTTTGTATATGAAAACACCGAATTTGCTGCAGTTTGACCAAACAAAACTAGTTTGCTGTGAGAGTCGCCATGGTCGCTCTCTCCGAGTTTGCTGCAACAACATTTGCACGCAGTTTGCCAAACAAAATTTCTGCATAACACCCAAGAATGATAGAATACAAGATTGCGCCAATGAGAGAGGATTTTTGAGCGTAATTTTTACGTGACGTCATCTTGGTGCAATTGCGAGAGAGAAATGCCAAAACGCATATAAAAATATGTAAACAATGCAGAAAAATGTGTTAATTTTAATACTACATGGCCCAATTTTGCAGGAATCAATAAATATACAAAGATTGATTAATTAGGAACACGTAGCAATAATTTTGGACATGTAGCCCTTTAGATAAGTACGATTTTTAGCACATGAAAAAATGGATGTATTAACAGTGTTTGCAATTTCATGTAGACCAAAAGGAAGGTGTGCAGCAAAGTGAATTTTTGGACTTGCCATTTTAAAAAGCCATGCAAAGTGCATATTTATATTTGTGGACGGTAGCCAACCACCATAAACTCCACAGCTGTTGACTCCACGGCTTTTATTTGATGACTTTTGTACCATTTTCGAGAGGATGCATGAGTGTGGCTTTTTTGGAAGGAAATATTCTATTTCAGTAAAACATAATTTAAGCTGAACTTTTGAATGTATAATAATTTGGGCAATGTTTTGTATTAGATACGTAACAGCGCGGTAAGATGCCGCTTGAATTAGCGCCTGGCGACCTTATCCACTGGTGCATTACCTCATAACAGCACTAAAAAGAATCAGGTACTAACAAAAATAAGTAGGTAGTGAAGTTCATGTATCTATTTACTGTAGAAACTGCTTTTGTATGTACGCCATTGCCAGCAAACTAAACCAGCAACTGTCTACATTCACCAAGGAAATATACCTACTACAATTCACCAAGGAAAGGCCAACATATACTACGTTTATACGCACAGAATAATCGACTTAATTGAATGCGCATTGATACCGTACACATTTCGCTCTGGTGTTTATACTTACGGCTTTATATCGGCATCAAAGTAACCGTCTTCAAAAGCAAACAAAATTAACTATTTTCATTTGACATTTTATAAGTTAACATAATGGAAAGTGATAAAAATCTAGTTTTATTCGGAATTATAAAATCGTGGCAAAGAAAAAGAACGATTATTATTAATCAGCTTTTAAAGACTGAGGCGATTATTTGGAATTTGAGTGGAACAGCTGATCTCCAATTCGCTTTGACTGAGAGCGGTGTTTATACATACTTTCTAACTGTCTGGAGAAATAAACTACCGATTTGAAATGGAGTGTGAGCCAAAACACTTCGCTCTTTCAAAGCGAATTGAAATTCAGTTTATACATATGTTTTGAATCGCGGCGAAATGAAATAAAGCGACTTATGCATGCGTATAAACGTAGTAATAGTTCCATGTAGAAGCTCATAGCTCACACACATAGCACAAAGCTTGATTTGGGGTTTAATGCATGTCCTCGCCGGCAGAACTGCTTCCACTTTTTCGCCAGGTTTGTGTCCGTAGGAAACGAAAAAAAAACTTATATAGCACGCTTTCCTTTTGTTTTTGCTATTACACTTTGCCACTGCACACTTCATTTTGCTTTTTAATGTCTCAATAATTGTTTAAAAGCGCGCAGAAATATTAACGCACAAATATTAAAATTCTTATTTGGTTTTTTCGTATGCTCACATTCAACAATTGCACCAAGGTGACGTCACGCACACAGCTCATTCTGTCAAAATCACAAAGAGCGGATTAGCGGTACCACGATTGGCGCAATCTCTATTTCTCTCAATCGTGCATAACACCGACCTTAGACAATGGCAAAAATAACGTACGGTCATTTCGTTGCCTTACATCACATCCCTATCCCGCACGCTTTTAAGCACTATTTACATATAAGAAAATGGGCAGGGTTTTATGTAGTAACTGAAATCCCGTGCAGCTAACTTTTCACTACTCTTTTTGATAATAATTTTTACTACTCTTTTTGATAATAATTAAAAATTTACATTTTATTCTTCTTTGAATGACATCCTTGCGTTATTTTTTATTTGCTATTTATAGATATATGTATGTATATGTAGATCTACATACATACATGCATGTATGTATATATTAAATAATTATATATTGTATTTAGTTTAGCAGAAATGCATAAATCTCTTCGAACATGTAAATTTTTGTAAATTTTTATTTTCATAATTATACATATATTCCTGTAGCTACATACATAGGTATATTTATGCAAATAGTAGATACATAATTGTAGTGTGGGTTTATTTTTTGGTCCTCTATTTATTTATAATATTTCTTGGTATCTGTTAGGAGCAAAGTTTTTGGAATTTATTTGAATGAAAATAGATTGCGCTATTTTGTTAAATTATTTTTAACCCTTAAGTTTTTATTTGAGACTTTTTAACCTTTTTGAATTTAAATGGTTTCATACATAGGCTTGAGTTGTTCACTTTCTTATAATTTTTTTAATAATTTTATTTTATACACCTTTTTTCCTATAACACTTATTTGATTTACTATTTTTGCTGGTAAATTTCAAATTTTTCTTTTCATTTTATTTTTGCTAAATTAGCGCACAGTTATCTATGTAGCGGGATTTACAAATAATTTAGCATGCAATGAATTTGCAGTTTTTCGCCAAGTTTTTACAATTTTTTGTGGTTGGAATTGAATTTACTTCTTTTCAAAGAATTTTAATTAATTGCATCGCACGAAAATAACAAAAGTATGGTATTTATACTATGAATGGATCCATTTTTTCCTAAAAAAAAAATGTTTATATCATTTGTAATGCAAATTAAACTCAATTTTATGAACATTTTAAAAATCAATGGTTCGGCTTAAAAAAATTTTATTTAAGAAACTATTCGATATTTACACCTGCTTGGTTATCAAGTTATCTGGTTAAAAATTA